AAACCAGTGGTGTCAAATGGAAACAGGGCTCACTAAATCATACAACATAAGGATCCCTGTGGGCCATATGTCTTTTTTATGACTTCATCAATACATTAAAAGCAGATGGGAACTATATTTTAATCTGGTTTGGGCCACAATCAGGACTACTGTGGGCTACACAACAGCTGCATGTTTGACCCTTATGTTCTAAGCCACTATCTCTGATGAGTTCTAAAGCCACATTCTTTCTTCTAAGTGGATTCAGCTAAATGGATCTTTTTTTTCTTCTCTTAATTAACTGATTAATCTATTAAAGGCCTGTGCTGGTAGTTTTCCTAATAATGGAATCCATAAATTGAAGCTGATTTACACATGGAATAATATGGTCCTGTGCCTAGTGCCTTAAGCCCAGGAAAGTGGCAGAAAGAAGTGGTTTATTGGGGACTCTCTGGAATTCTGTGTTGTAATTAACACCTTTTCTCTACCCCATTTAGGATGTGATGTTTTCTAGGGTCAGGTCACCCACCTGTTGGTTATTTTAGTACAAAAGAATGCTGACAGCAGCTGGGTTCCTGAAATAAGTAACTGAAGCAACAATTTCATAACATTGAGTTCTACCACCGACATCTTTCTCAGTGAACTTCACTCTTCGAGTCTTTCAGGTGCACAGATCTTTCTGTTCTGCCATATAAAATAGCAGATGTATATTTGAGGGGTCTTATATTTCACTCCTCAGTCCCTCCATGTAGCAGTCTATATGGCTCTTCTCTTCGTAGACTGTCTATTGATTTGACCAGAACTGCCACAATGGAGGTGAAACATGGGGATAGAGGAAATGTAAGGATAATTGTTGCTATTTTCAAACTCTCTATAATCAAATCTGTCCAATAATAGGACGAATATGTATGTTACATTAAAAAAATATCCTTTCAAAGTCTTTTTGTAATTTTCTTCTTCCAAATCAATACATCAATCAACAAGTAGTTATTAACTACTGTCTATATGCCAGGCACTGTGCTAGGCACTGGAGATACAATTACAAATACATGAAACAATCCCTACTCCCAATATCCTCCAATGATTTCCCTCTTGGCTGCCACACCAACATGAAAATTGTTACCTTGGTCTCCAAAGGTTTCCAAGTCAAATGAAGCCAACAAGCATTTATTAAGCTTGCCTTGTGCCAGGCACTGTGCTAAGTGCTAGAGATATAAAGACAGGCAAAACAAACAAACAAACATATCCTGCCCTTTTTCTCAAGGAGCTCACAGTCTAATGGGGGAGATAAACAAGCAAATGACTGAGTACAAACAAGATATATGCAGGATAAATTAGAAATAACTACAGAAGGAAGGCACTAGTATTGAGGGGGCTTGAAAAAGACTACTTGTAGAAGGTGTAATTTTAGCAGGGAGTTGAAAGAATCCGGGAAAGTCAGGAGACATCTTCCGCTAATCTTCCATAGCATAGCTATCTTCCTTTACCTCTGTTACTTCAGTACTCACTCTCTCCACCCCAAACTTGGCTCTTCTATTCACTCTCCAATTTTTGCTGCTATTTGACCCATTTCAACACCTTTACATCACTGCACACCATTTCTGAGTTAATATCCCTCCTGTCATTCAAAATATAAATCCAAGACCTCATCCTCCATTATACTACTAAGGGGGCAGAAAGATGTGTTCAATTAAATTGTCAAAGATAGTTGAAAATGATAAAATTCATATGTGAAGTATAGAGAAATAAATATGCTTTTGCTGTGCTGTTGAAGTGGGTAAATTGGTACAACATTTTGGAAAGCAATATGGCAATACACCATAAGTTAGAAAACTGATTATGCCCTTTGTCCTACTGATTCTACCACTAGGATTATAAACTAGGGATGAAAAGAGAATTATTAATACAGAAATATTTATAGAAATTTTATTTCTAATAGCAAAAACCCCACTCTAAATGTAGCATCTGATTGGAGAGTGCATGAAAAAGTTATGATATATCATTATAATGGAAAATTATTGGCCAGTAAAATTTATACATATAAATATACAAAGAAACAGGAAAAGCAAGGCAGACTGAAGAAAGCAAAATCAAAAAAATGTGCATGTTGATTATGACTATGTTTAAAAATAAATAAAAGCAAGAGAATTCAAAAAAGACCTACAAAGCATATGGAAATGAGAAAAGAAGCCATCTGGTACTGCTAGGCAGCAGAAAGACCTGTTGCTAACAGGGGTACTCTTACCTCCTCATCCCTTGCCCTGATCCCTGACCTTCAGAGAACCTTCAGGTCAGCTGGGAGCAGGAAAATAAGCTACCATGAAGGGCATAGTACCATCTTGCCTTTCCCCTTTGACTCCTCCCATCCCTGATGGATCTGAGCTGCTTGACTACTCATATACCTTGGATGTGGAAATCACCAACTCTGTTCCTTTTAGTCAGATGGAAGGCCACCAGGTCTTGCCAATTGTCAGACTCTATACTCTGCAGACCCTTAGCTCTGCCATCTGATCTGTTGCCATAGCCTTGTCTTGGCCTTGCCATCTACTCCCACCACAATACCCTTGGGCCTTCCAGTCCTTTCCAATTGCTCTGCAGCTAAATTTTCTTTCATGTGTTGTCTCCCACAATTAGAGTTTGAGGTCCTTGAGAGCACTTTTTCTATTGGTATCACTGGTGCTTAGCATCATAGTAAATGCCTTTTAATTCATTAATTTATTCATTCAAACTTAATATACATTTTTTAAAAGCAAATGCTAATTACTTTTGAGATAAAGCTTTTTTTATTGTACCATTTCTTTATATTATTTTGTTTTCATTATTAAAAAAATGATTACTTTTTTTGTTGATTTTGGTTCGTTTTTGTAATTTCACCCGAAGAAGGAATTCCTGATGTGGAATGATGTCTCATCACCTCCACAGATGAAGAAATTAGCTGCAATTTGTAGTCTTAGAAAGTTGCCAAGGGCACTGAGAAGTCCAGTGACTTGTCCATGGTGACACAACTATTGTGTGTCAGAAATGGGATTTAAGCCCAAACGTTTGTAATTTCAAGGCTGACCTGCCCTTCATCTACTAGCCTCTACTCCCTCTCAGATGGTTACTGTTTAGAAAAAAACAATTGTAAAAGATGGGAAGTATTTGACTTATACTCAAACCAATGACATACCTATTATAGCTTATCCTTGGGGTCAGGAGTATTTGCAATTTACAAATAGACTCACTTACCAGCTCAAAGCTAAGGAAACTTCCCGAGCCATTCAAAACTATAAAGTGACTTAACATCCTTTGAGATAAGTAGGAAAAACAAATCCCTGCCCAGTTAGAAACTCTTTCTGTTGCCTTTCTGGGTCTTTCTTAAGCCTTTGCAGAAAGGTCCTTGCTGAATATTTAAGAAGTCATTCAAAAGCAACTCAAGTGTTGACTCATTTTACAAAAGATCTATTAACAATATCTTTATTGTTTCCCCTGATCAGGGATCATAAGAGTTATTCATAGACTACTATCCCCTTTTCAAAGTATGTTAATAGTGTATTAACTTTGAATGGCCCTATATCCTTCTTCACATTTGGTCTGGGATGGTGTTGCATCAGACTTCTAACATTGGCTCATGTTTATATGGCAGATTTATAAAGTATGGCCTGCATTGGCAATAATTCTGTTGGAAGAATAATTATGAAACAATTCACATCTATGTCCCCAGTTAGAGAAGCATAGCTATGAAACGGCTTATGTCTAAGTCCCAAGTTAGAGAAGCATAAGATATGAAATGACTTGTGTCTATCCACCCCAAACAAAACAAAACAAAACACAACAACAACAAAAAAAGACTGGGGGTGGAATTCTTAATCTTGGACTTGCAAAGGTCAGTCTCTGTCTCCTGTGTGGCTTGTGACTTCATGCTGCAAACAAAGGGATACCCAGCAGCATAAGGATCAGGTTGAACATAGTTGTTTATATGAAATAATACTAAGTCTGGCAGACATATAGGAAGCGAAAAAAGCAATTAAACAGAAGTAAGGCAGGAGTGGAGTAGGGACTAACAGCTCTTGGATGGTTTGTTTCTTCAGTACTTTTGCTACTGGAGGGACTAACATCTTCCAGCATGTTAGAAATCATCTCTCATGATCTTGAAGGTGGAAACTGCAGATGTAGCAGGTGCCTGTCTGCTACTGCTGTGGGACAACTGCCACTTCTCCCTTCTTTTCTCATTATGCCAAAGAGTCTTAAAGCTCTCCCTAGGGCTCTTCCTCACCCCCCTCTTGGAGCGCTAATCTAAGCTCTCTTCTCGAACTGGGAAGAACTACAAATCCCAGGAGGATTTATGCCCAGCTAACCCCTTGCTAGATAGTGTTACTGATTTCTTTATGGGTAGTCCTTAGAATGTAATCTTGAGGGCAAGGACTGTGCTGTTCGTTTATTTGATTGGTTTTCCTTTGTATTTCCAGTGACCATCACAGTACTTTTCACTTAGAAGCTACTGAATATAGATTTGGTAAATGGAACTGAATTGAATCTGGGCATCTGAAGCTTTGGTGGGGAGCAGGTGCTACCTAGTACATGCCAGGAACTGTGCTAAACACATTTTCAGAATCAGATGGTACTTTATACTTGAATAGATTTTTTATGTATGCTGTGTTCAATTGCCATATATGCATTTATTTAGTCTTTTTAAGAACTTCCAAAGTCATATCATCACCATATTGTTTCAACCTCAGAACATTTTGTCTGTTTGTTGTTGTTCAGTTGTTTTGGTCATGTCTGACTCTTCATGACCCATTTGGGGTTTTCTTGGCAAAGATACTGGAGTGGTTTGCCATTTCCTTCTCCAGCTCATTTTATAGATGAGGAAACTGAGGTAAACAGGGTTAAGTGACTTCCTCAGGGTCACACAGCTAGTATGTGTCATAAGCATGTCTAATAAACACTAATTAATGAAGCTGAAATCCTTTCTTTTGGTAGATCTTCATGGTATTGGTTGCTTCATAGGATCATAGGCTCAGAACTCTTTTATCTTGCAGATGTGAAACTGAGACCCGAGGAGGATGAATGACTTGCCCAAAGTCACACAGCAAAGAAATATCAGAGATAGGATTTGATGCCAGGCTTCTAATTCCAGAGTAAGTATTCTTTCCAGTGTACTACACTGCCTTTAATACTATGCTGCATCATTGTTAATTTCCCAATGGCTAAGGATATAGACTGCACCTGTGGTTTCACTAATATATGGAATTCTAGATGAGGAAACTACCTCTATCAATGAAAGTTGACACCTACTCTGCAACTTATAGTATAGTTGCCTAGAACATTGGGAAATTAAGTGACTTGCTAGATTATACAATGGTTAAGAGCGCTAGACTTTGGAGTCTGGAAGACCTGAGTTCAGAGCCTACATCAGACACATACTAGCTGTGAGACTCCTTAGCAAGTCACTTAATCTGTTTGCCTCAGTTTCCTTATCTGTAAAATGGAGATAATAATAGCACCTACCTTATAAAGTTTATTGTGAAGATCAAGTGAGATAATATTTGTAAATGCTAGTTAGTAGGAGCAATAGGAGTAGTAATAGTAGCAGAAGCAGCATTAGTAGCAGCAGTTGCAGTAGTATTAGTAACAACAACAATAGTGGTAGTGGTAATAGTAATAGTAGCAACAACAGTAGTAGTAGTCATAGTAGCAAAATATAGAAATAGAGAGTCAATTCCATTTTCCCCCTCATGCTGAGAACACTCTTGATTTCTTAGGATGAGAATTATACTTATTTTTTAGTTTCTATTTATATGTTCCAGTGCCTTTAAAACAATAAATTCATTCAGTCAATTCTGACTTTCAGTTGCTCATGTCCTAAAGGTTATCTTTATGTACTTTAAAAATTTAAATATTTCCATTTTAACAGGGAAGGACAATTTGACGTTAGAGCACAATATACAGGACATAGCTGCTATTTTCTTACTCTTGGAGATGAGAGAGTTGGAGGTGGGGGGAAGAAGTGACTAATTTTCAGGTAATCCCCTGGTTAATTATGCTAGCTGCCCTTTCAACTCTCTTCAAGCCATGGAGTCTGAATGCATCTATCTGTGGCCAACATCCTTTCTCTTTAGACATCAACTGAAAAATCATTTGGAATTCATGACTAGTTTCTGGGTGGGCTTCAAGAACTATGGTGATTCTTTTCAGACAGAAGTCTCAGTGTTGTTTTGTTTTCTATTAATTTGTAGTTAGGTAAATGGGATCCCAGAGCAGAATTTGAAGATGGAATCACACATAGCCTGTAGTTAGTATCACTTAATGAATTACAAAGAGCAGTGAGTGCCAGTTTAGACTGTGCCTTTGTGATGCTACCAGCTGTGAATGCTTTGAAAATAAATGACATTGACAAAGTATGGCTACCATGGCCCAGACTCCAGCTCCACCATGTTGTTTTCATCTAGGCACAAAGTTAAATGGGCTCCTGTTATAATCAGCATGCAAAGGGGGTTGAGGATTAGCTCCCTAGAGAGAGCAGATATGGGGCATTTTGTTTCTTTGCAATTAAGCGATATGCGATCCAAATAAGGTTGCACAGTGCCACTTGGGTTGAATTACTATTAGCAATTCTGAGTCAGCTGGTATAAGAATATGCTAGGATAAGAAGTCTATCTGTGGTTTCCTTGATATAGGAAACTCCTAGATAAGGGACTTTTTTCTACCAACGAGGGTTGGCATATTCTCTTCAATGCCTAGTCTTAGAAAGCTGCCCTGAGCACTGAGAGGTTGAGTGACTTCCTTAAGACCAATCAATATGTGTCAGTGGTAGGATCTGAACTCAGATCTTCCCATTGTTGAGAGTAGCTCCCTATTATGACACCCATTGTACAAAAATGTGCATGTGTGATAGAACTAATATGTACCAAGGGCTCTCCCCCTCCCACCCCAACCTCTCTCCCAGTTAGGTTAGATAAGATTTTCCCTGAAAGGAGACAAGACTGACCCAGGAACTTGATTGGCCCATGACTACCCCCTTTAACTGAAGCAGCTGCCTGGTGGCTTTTGTCAGTGTTGCTGTGGCTTCCTGGTCACATAAGGGCATGAAAAGACTTGGTGGTTGTCTTGAGCCTGTGCCAGCTGCCACATCCTGCCCTGCTGACCAGACTTACAGAGGCAAAGGGACCTGTGTCTACCTGAACTGAATGCTACTGTATGCTTATTGAATAAACTTTTGTTAACTTTCAAATAACCTGTGAGTGCCTCATTTTGTCCCAACATCAAACCTGAACTAAAAGGGTACCAACCTGAACCAGATTTCCTGTCCTCCACCCACTAATGACATGTCTTTAAAATGGAGAGGGAGTATGTGTTACAATGGCCACATTCCTCCGTAATTCCATGATATGAGTAGTATTGCTCGGTTCTTGGGGAAATACAGGAGAAAATTCAACCATGTAGCCCTGAGTTGTAGAACTGACCAAGTCATACTGGTATGATTGAGTGAGGAAGAGATATGTGGGACTGTGCAGTAACCTGGCTTAAGTATCTGTACAGAGCATAGGTAGAGAACATATGAAGTCATCATAAAAGGCCAAAGCTTTGGAGAGACAGATTGAATGATATATACAGTTAGTTCTCTGACATACCCTATATCTTGCCTCCTGGCCTGGGTCTCCTCTCCTCCAATTGGTTCCTCCTCCTCATTGAAGGAGGGCTTCAAAAACTCTTATTGACCAACTTTTCCCATGTCTTTTGGGAACCCTGATTCAAAGTACACCATTATTTCTTGGGAGGGGACTTTTCTCATTCTTGTTCTAATCCCTGGCATATGGCAGGCTTCCCTTAAAGAAGATATGATTGAAATGTCTGTCATCCTAAAGAGACTGCTGGCAGTTGACAAGGGCTGAGCGGCTGGCCTGACAACAAGCTTCCCAGAAAGGGAGTCCAGTGGCCTCAGAGTTAGAACTACAGTTAGGACAGAGTCAGGGGAATTGGATGCTGCTCTGAGATAAGGAAACTCCTGGCTCAGGCAGCAGCTGGAGTCCGTTGATAGAATTGAGTGCACTCCAATCTCATTGGCTGGATATGAAGAGGACTTCCTATGGTTCCTGGTTGAGGACAAGTTGTTTGAGCACATCCTCCCCCAGGGATTCACTACAAATTAGTTAAAGGCAGCCTTTAGAACGTTCCATTTAGCAGGTGATGACTGGTCTCTCATGAAATAACCCCATATTGGACAATGTAGAGGAAGGGCAGGGAACCTTTGGATACCTCCTTCAGAGCTGAGATTGCTAATCCTTAGATTTGCTGACTTCACAAGCAAAATGCTAGAATGTTCTAGTTACTGTTAGACCCCCAGGATTCTCCCAGCCTGACTGTTGAAAGCCAGTGCATCTTGGGAAGTACAGTGTGTGCTCCCTATCCTACTCCATCTCTGTTCTTTGGGCAAGGAGTTCTACCCACAGACCTATCTGCCTGCTACAGGGAAGAACTAATATTCTTTTCTTTCTTTATTCATCCTAGACTGACATTCCATCATCCTCATATTCCATTCCATTTGAGGTATGTATGTGGGGGTGTGGGTGGGGTTCTGCATCTGTGATTCCATCATCATAGGGAATTTCTAGCGTGGAAACTTCCTTCAGTAATGTAGATTGTGAACTCACCTGTAATTTACAGTCTTAGAAGGTTACTTTGGGAAAAGAGAGCTTAAGTTGACTAGGGGCTATAGTCATTAGCTAGTAGGATCAAAGGCAGAATTTGAACCCATGTCTTCCTGACTTCAGGGCCAATTCTTTATCTATAATGCCAGGTTGCTTCTTGACACACCTCCTAACTCACCTAATTTTGACTGTTATGCCATGAATGAATGAATGAATGAATGAATGAATGAGAAAGCCTTTATTAAACACTTACTATGTGCCAGACACTGTGATAAGTTCTAGGCATACAAATGCAAGTGACAAAGACAGTCCCAACTGCAAGGAATTTACAGTCTGATAATAGAATGATAAGACTCTTATGTTGTGGACTCAGCTGTGGCCTAAAGTGAGTTCCCCAGAAACCCTGTGTCATCCCAACAGCAGTAAAGACAATCAATCCTCAAGCATATATTAAGTGCCTTCTGGGAAGCAGGCACTTTATTAAACTCTAGGGAAACACATAAAGGAGTGAGATTTTACATTCCATTGGGAAAAATATAACATAGTCACAAATAAGTAAATACAACATATATGTAAAATAAATGCAAAATGATAAGGAAATCACAAAAGGCCTCTTTAGTCAATCAGTCAGTCAATCAATAAACATTTATTAAGTGACTACCATATGCCAGGCACTGTGCTAAGCCCTGGGGATGCAAAGAAAGGCAAAAAAGTCCCTGTGATCAAGGAGCTCATGTTTTAATTGGGGAGACGATATACAAACCACTGTGTGTAGGTAAATTTATAAAATAGCAGGTGACACTTGAGTTGAGCCTTCCAGGGAACCAGGGGTTTCAAGAGGTTTTTAAGGAGGTAGAGCATTTCAGGCATAGGGGACAAATTGTACAAAAGCAAAGAAATGAAAAATATAATGTTATTATATGAAGAATAACATTCCCCCTCACCCCCAGCCTTTGTGCAGATGGACCAAGGGACCATACAGGGTTTGATGTTTCATCCCAAAGTGCCAAGTGTTTTAGCATTGAGTCAGAACACAGCTGCCCGAGGTTCCACAGCTAGGGTTGAGAAGGCTCTAATCTATCTGCCACCCTCCCATTAAACATATGTAGGCTCTTACTCATATTATTTTTTCAAGAACTTAAATGTTTTGAGAGTCTTTGAGCCCTAGAGAAATCTGGATGAATTGAGGTTGTTTGTAGTTGGCTAGTTTTGAGATTAACCAGTCTCTTTTCCTGCTGGCCTCTCTTGCTCAGTGAAAGACGAATTCTCCATAGAACCTTGGATTTTTTTTGCCATACACACTCCAGTTTTTATATAATTTGCAGTGATCCAGGATTCATTCTGGTGCTGCACATAGTGACATGATGAGATCATGGCATCTTTTGCCTTTCCATGTGAACCTCACTTAAAGTATGTCTAGGATTTTCCTGAAAGTGTATGCACAGTTTCTCTTTATTTTCACAAAGTGGC